ACCTGGTACGCCTTCTAGTTATATGTTACACAGTTTGACATCTCAAGCTCTTGGTAGATGAGCTTGGTTTGTGCACCGCGGATGGTAAGACTTCCTCCTTAGGGAGTCTAGCTTCGACCCACAAAGCTAATTTTAATTTTGGCTTGCAACTGTCCTACTCAATCTGGCACTTGTGACATACTTGTAAAGTCTTCACTCAACCCTCAGGCTCATTTTCAGGACATTCTAACCTTACTAGACATACAAAGTGTAGTTTGAGACAAATTGTCACGGTTGTACATTTTCAACCGTGCGACGTCATGATCTTGACACGCTCGTGACAAGCCTTAAGGAGAATTCAAGCCCCATTCACATTTTTCGTCTGACGTTTGTAGCCAAACAAGTTTAGATTCCGCACGAGTTGTACTTAATTAGCAAAAACAAACCTCGCCTAAGATCCAACGAAGTCACAAAGCTAGGCGAAAGAATGTGAATGAGTCTTGAGTTTCCTTTCAACCTTGTCATAAACATGTCAATATCATCATACAAAACGGTTGTAGATGTACGACCGTGACACTTTAACATCTAAGTGACTAGCCAAAATATCATTACTTAGTAACAGTGTAATTGTTTTAAGAAAATGTAACAGTTTAATTACAAACAAATTTGCTTAACTTCCACAAGTAGCTAAAGCTTAAACAAGAAATAGCACCATCCATAAAAGATACAAAATTCAGAAATGGAGCCAAAAAAATATCATTTCAAAATTCATAAACGTTAAATTATTGATATAATTAAATTTATCATAACCCATCCACCTAAACTTTTAAGTTCATCGATAATTTAACAAGCATAGCTCGAGCTATGATTATTGCTAATGAACTTACGTGGGGGCAATGGTAATGACCAGTAACCTTCTTTGTAACTCATCACAAGTGTTGATACAAAATCTTCCCAAAATGGGAACCTCCACTCTTTAGGTTAGCTATCCTTCTACACCTGCCATAGAACACTAATAGATATCCATGAACAACTTGGTAAACATCAGTAAAACAGTAGTCACATACCCATGAACGCCATAGAACTAGCACATAGCCCTTGATTTGTTGATATTACTCCAAAAAGCTTCCCTACTAACTTATCGTTCAATCACCTCGAACTACCGTCACTCTGTCTTGCACCTGTTGTCAATGGAAGACGGGGCCAATGGAAGGGGAGAAGAGCTCGGTAGAGCTTGCCGATCCTCTCGTGGTTCGAATTTCTCGCCTGATGAATTGCTGATATCCTCTTGCTTTTTACATAAAGATGATCATACTTTCTAAAGTTTTGTATATTTGTTCTGCATTGGGATGTGACATGTCAAAAGAATAGAATTGATAAACATGATTATCAACCTCAATCCAACTGCAACCTGGTATTTTGTAAGCATTTTGCTCCTTCAAAAGTTTCCGAACCTTACGAACCTCGTCCCAGTTTTCAAGCTCGGCGTATATATTTGCTAGCATAATTCTATAACCGCCATTTTCTGGATCCATCTCGATCAACTTTTTAACCGAGTATTCAGCTAAATCTAGACGGCCATGGATTTTGCATCCATTTAGTAAAGAACCCCATACAACTTCATCTGGTTCAATATTCATTCCCCTCACAACTTCCATTGCTTCCTCGAACCGCCCTGCACGACCAAGAAGGTCGATCAAGCACCCAAAGTGTTCGATCTGAGGCTCGATGTCGTAATCCTGCCTCATCATTTTGAAGTATGAGTAACCCTTTTCAACTAATCCTCCATGAGTACAAGCATTCAACACACCCACAAAAGTAACCGCATCTGGCTGCACGCCATCCCTACATTGAACTAACTCTAAGAACAAATCAATTGCACTTCCACTATGACCATGGAGTGCAAGACAATTTATCAAGGAATTCCATGATGTCAAGCTTTTTAAAGTAATCATATCGAAAACTCTCCTAGCAACTTTCAAATTGCCACATTTCCCATACATATCTAACAGAGCATTTGAGATAAATGAATCTTGACCAAGATAAGTTTTGAAAACATAACCATGAATCCACTTACCAAGATGAAGCATCCCAGTATGTCCACAAGAGGATAGTGCAGATGCAACTGTGATCTTATTCGGCTTGGTTTCACGCTCCTTATTACCCTCCAAAGCCAATGAAACCATTCTTTTGAACAGCCCAATTGCTTCACAGAAGAATCCATTTTGAGCACATCCAGCAATAAGAGCATTCCAAGCAGGGATATCCCTCTCAGGCATACTCTCAAACAACGCCATTGCATTATCAATGTCCCCAAGCCTCGCATACCCTGAAATCATAGCCGTCCAAGACACTACACTTCTCTCAAGCATTTCGTCGAACACCTGTCGGGCAATTCCAATATCCGTACGGAATCTCGAATAGGCATCAACAATGGCCGTTTGGACAACTGGGTATCCACCAAATCCAGATTTCAGAACCTGGGCATGAACCATTTTCGTGCCATTGGACTCCAAAAGCTCAGGGCAGGACTTCAGCACATGGGGATAAATAAAATGGTTGGGTAGAGGAGCTCCTCGGCGGACCATGTTACGGTACAAGAGAAACGCGGCTTTAGAATCGGGCTCCGAGGCATAAGCAGTGATCATTGCAGTATAGAGATAGACATTCGGGGAAGATAGATGATCAAAAATGAAGCGAGAATAACATAAGTCAGTAAGAGTAAGGTTACAGAAGCGAACGAGCTTGAAGGCGTAGAACTGGGTTTGTGAGTGACCGAGAGAAATGAGAAAGCCTTGGAGCTGCTTGAGGTGATTGAGATGGCTGCATTTTTCGAGCACCGATAGAACTAATTGATTCAAATGAGGTTGCATTGGAACAGATGCCATGATTCTTCGTTCTGTAAACGAACTTCGAATAATTTAGTAATGTTTTTGGAATGAAACGAGACAGGTTTGGAAATATAGTACCGTATTTAAAAAAAAAAAAAAAAAAAAAGTTAATATTTGAAGACAAGACAGGTTTTTGACAGGTTTTTGTTCAAAGTTAAGGCTAATGCACTTTTTATGTGTATTTTGTAGACATAGTAAGACTCGTACAAAGATGTTGTCTATAACCTGTGAAATCTTTAGATTGATTTTATGTTGTATTGTTTTACTATTGTATTTTTTGTTTGTTTGATTGTTGGGCAAAATCATGTTTGGGTCTGTCGGGTTTGAATTGGTTCAAGATGTACTATAGAGGGATCAAGTAGTCATCGAACCTCTCCCAACCAAATATTGTAATCTCTCTTGTCTACATGGGTTCAATGCAATTGACTTTCACAATACTTGCTTCCAACATGTTTTCATTGATTTTCCTCGACCACGTTTTCTAAAACTTTTTCTCTCAAAACGTGGTTTGATGCTCGATTATACACTAACATTGTCTACGAAATTTGATTTTGACATGGCTGGCTTGTTCGCTTAGTTAGAGCAAACACCACACAATTATTAGTCCGCTTCATTAGCTCCTAGTCCCATCAAAAGACCAAAACAATGTTGCCACCAAAATAGTTGACTAAGTCTCTATACAAGAGAGCAACGACCTGAGAATCGAGCCGACAATAGAAAAAGAGGAAGACCAAGATAACTCCAAGATGGGTGCGTTGAAATTTCTGTCACCATCCAAAAGAAAGGTCGACCCAAAGGAAGTAATCAAGAAGGGGATAATGTTCGTAGACGTGGCAATAAACTTGCAACCCGCAAAAGCATCCTGGTAGACTCATAATTTCATCTCTGACCAAGAAGCCCGTAAATTGGGAGTCATAATAGAGAAGGACCCTGAAAAATGAAAGATACTAATTCAGAGGTGTTATCAATCTATGGAGTTCCTAAGAGAGTCTCCTTAAAACTGGGGGCTTGTTCAAGAAAAATAGACCTAGTCTTCGTTTGTTTGGATGACTTAGATATGATGCTTGGAATGAATTTCCTACTTAAGCACCTCCCTGCATGCATGAAACTTGAAAAGGTGTAACCACTATTGAACTTGTCCCGAGTGAAGTTAGAGATGTCTTGAATAATTATGCTGACATAATGTCAGAGAGCTTGCCAAAAACACTACCACCTCATTGAGGCATTGATCATGATATCGAGCTTCTCCCTAGGGTCAAACTCTAGCAAAAAATGCATATCGGATGGCTCCATTAGAGCTAGCCAAACTGAGAAGGCAACTAGACGAGTTGTTGGCTGCAGATTCATCTCCCCCGCAAAGGCACCCTATGGGGACCCATGCTATCTTAGAAAAAGAAGGATGAGACGTTACATATGTGATAGACTATCGAGCCTTGAACAAAGTGACAATACATAACAAATATCTCTTACTAATAATATCTGACTTATTTGACCATTTTTCACTAGGCCAAAATACTTCACGAATCTAAACTTATGATTAGGATACTACGAAATACGCATTGGTGAGGGACATGAACCCAAGAAAATGTGTGTAACGAAATATGGGGCTTTTGAGTTTTTAGTAATGCCCTTCGGCCTGATGAACCCCCAGCTATGTTTTGTACGTTGATGAACCCGCATGTTAGGATTGTTATAAAGAAGTCTCAATGTAAGAGACCTTCTTATTGAAGCTAAACCGATATCGTATAAATGTTTCTTGTCATGCTTATTGATCCTGATAGATAAATATTTTGTGACTAAATGCATGCATGTTATTTTTTTAATGCAATGAGTCTGCTAAGAGTTACAAGCGACTTGTGATCACATGAGGTAATTTATGATATATTATTATATGTGGTGTGTATCGGAAAACAAGCTGCTAATGGTCACGAAAGAGTGATTGCTAAAAAAATCGTTTTTGGTGAGTAAATTACTCAAGGTGTGCTTCAATAATCAACCACTAAGCTCCTTCGATGATAGTTTTCCAAATATAAAAAACAGTGGAATTTATGTGATTAATGGTAGAAATTGGAATTACCATTAATGAGACATCATGAGCAATAAAAAATTCCGACAAAAATTACAGAAAATCCACAATATCCATTGGAGAACTCAAATCGAGCGTGGACGAAGAATTGCTTACCATGAGGGTTTCTCCTTGAAACTCTCCCAATTTCATCTTCCCCTCCTTCGCTCCTCTCCCTGTTTTCTCTCCCAAATCCCACACTCCTCATCCTCACAATCATAAAATATTCCACACCCTTCTCTTTCTCAATAAATTAACATTCTCCTTGCCAAGTTTGTACTCTTTCATTTGATGCGCACTTTTTTCGTCGATTTGTCCCTCTCTCTCTGTTCTTGAGATTTAGAGCTTGAACTGAATTGGATTTCATCTGGGTTCTTGACGAACGATCTTATTTGTTCATCTTTGTTGGATTATATACAAATTTCTCATGTCTGGCAGTGGTGGAAGTGCGATCTTGAAATGGAAGAAGTTGCAGGCAATAAGGCTGCTCTGTTTCTCAAATCACAATTACCGCACGACCCAGATTTGCCCCATTTCGACCCATCTCAATTATCTTCATGTTTCGAGTTATCGCCGGCGGGAATCGTTTATCGGCGTTCAGGAGCGGTACAAATGGGACAACGGCGGGTCTGGTTCCGATGATTTCAATTCACAGTCGAATAACACAGGTACTCCAATCCGTAAGATTCGGGCTGAGGCCAATTGTCCACGTTGTTCCAAGCATATGGATATCATCTTCTCTAGCCGCCATTTCCCAACCCTTAATCCTCCTTCTGGTGATGCTCCTCCCAAGGCTGCTGGAGGAAGAGAAGCCTACGAGGCTGTTAATTTGTGCCCCAGTTGCAAATCCGCTTACTATTTCCGCCCTTACAAGATCGCTCCTCTACAGGGCAGCTTCATTGAGATCGGTAATCTGAATTCCAAACCGAAGACCGCAGTAAAAAGGATCACTAGCAAAGATGGTAAAGGTAATGCCATGATCGGTACTTCAGATGAAAATTATGCGAGTGGTAGGCTGAGAGTCTCGTTATTCGAAACTATGAGATCGTCTGGTGGAGAACCGCCTGAAAATTGGCCTCCTGGACCTCCCCCCGTCAATGGGTTGGCGGTGCATTCTCCTCCGGGACCGCCGTTTGTTCCTGGTGTGAACTTCGTTCGGGCTACAGGTCCCGGTGGAAACACCTCCGGTTCTGGTGGAAATGGCGCTGGTGATGGTAAGAAGAGTGAGTGGGGTGGATCGAATTTGGGGAAGGATCTACCAACTCCAAAAGAGATTTGCAAGGGTTTGGACAAATTTGTTATTGGCCAAGAAAAAGCCAAGAAGGTCTGCATACTCTTTTTCAGTGATCTGATAGAATTATCATTTGTATGCATTTCATCGTGGCTTTTCTGCATAAAAATGGACATATCATTGCAGTTAATTGTGCCCAGCTTGTCATGTTTTAATTTCTTTCTAAATTTCTCCAATCATTTGGTCTTTGAAGTTTGACCACGTTCTAGCACATCGATAACTAGGAGCGAACGAATGTAAGCTATAATATTCAGTGCTGAAGAACATTGTTTTGCAAATTTAGGTGACTGTTGTTGCAAGGGGAAGTTATGTCATTATTTTGTGAACCATTGTTAAATTTTGAAGTCAGCATTCTTTATCTTTCTCAGATACTCTCTGTGGCTGTACATAACCATTACAAACGAATATATCATGCTTCCTTGCAAAAAGGGTTAGTTTTTTTTCTATAACATTTGCATCAAAATTATTCTTTTGTGAAAATATTTCCTTTCAGTTCGTGTCCATGAGTTAGCTGCTATTGTTGTTGTGGATTTGTGTTGCAGGTCGGGAACTGAATCAGGTACCCAAGATCGGATAGATGATGATGATAACGTAGAGTTAGAAAAGAGCAATGTTCTTTTGATGGGCCCAACAGGCTCTGGTATGAACTTATACGCTTATCGAGTTCCAATGTATTATCTCTGATTGTTATTGGCATAATATTATGCATCCACAATGCATTGAAGCCTCGTTCTAATTTTTGCAAATTGTAATATAGGGAAGACACTCCTTGCAAAGACTTTGGCTCGATTTGTGAATGTGCCATTTGTCATTGCTGATGCTACAACTTTAACACAGGTGAGTTTCTTTCTCTCTTTGTTCCTTTTCGGAATGATTTATAGGAAACTGTAAAATATGATGGTGTTCGTATGTTTACTGTGAGCTTCTGGCAAATCCTAGTCATCATCTTGTGCCCTTTCTTCCTTTGTGAATAATTTCATGTTCACCCATTTATGATTTGCTAAACTTGATAACTTCTGTATGAAGTCATGAAGTTAAGGTTTGCCATACTGATAAAAATTCATAGTTTCTTCGGACTAGAAAGCATACCGCCTTTTACGGTTTTGCTTATACGTTCTTTTTTTAATTATTTGAAACAAAGGGTAGCTCAGTTGCAGCAGAATTCTTGGGATGATTGGGTATGTCTTAGGTTGATGCTCAGCAGGATAAGAGACTAGCAACTAAACGGTAAAGAATGGGAGAGTGCTTTTATGTCAGATGGAGATATCCGAACTTCATGATATTAGTTCTTTCTTGTACCCCTACTCAATGATGAGGTGCTTTAAGCCATGTGATTTAAAAGTGTTAAGAAACTTCCCTTTTCTATCTCAAAATACTGACCAAAGTAGCTTTTCTCCGTTCGGAGTATCAAGTTTTGGTTCCCTAGAGACTTCCTTGAGAGCCAGGATTGAAATGTTATGCAGTGTTTCTTTTATGAAAGATAACCACACATTATTGTATACATATTTTCTTTTGCAATCCCCACTGGGATCAGGTGGAAGATTACAATTATTTATATAGGTAGCCCTAACCTACAAAGTGGAAGTAGATTATGTGGAAAAATTGATAAGAGATCAAAGAGAATTGTATGGTTAATGTGTTGGGTACTGTGGCTCCAATGACATCATTAAACTTTTCAGTATTAATCTACTTTCTTTTCACCATTTATAGGCTTCTAATTCCATTTGATGTGCGCTGGTCTTTTTGTGAAGAGATATGTCTTGATTGTTGCATAAAAGGTGCCTAAAAGTAAAACAAGAAGACTGTGATATCCCACATTGGTTGGGGAGGAGAACAAAACATCCTTTATAAGGGTGTGGAAACCTTTTCCTAGCAAATGCGTTTTAAAGCCTTGAGGGAAAGCCCGAATGGGAAAGCCCAAAGAGGACAATATTTGTTAGCGGTGAGCTTGGACCGTTATAAATGGTATTAGAGCCACAGACACTGGGCGATGTGCCAACGAGGAGGCTGTTCCCCGAAGGGGGATAGACACGAGACGGTGTGCGATGTTGGTCCCCGGAGGGGGGTGGACTTGGTGGGGATCCCACATCGATTGGAGAAAGGAACGAATGCTAGCGAGGACGCTGGGCCCTGAAGGGGGGTGGATTGTGATATCCCACATGGGTTGGGAGGAGAACGAAACACCCTTTATAAGGGTGTGGAAACCTTTCCCTAGCATATGCGTTTTAAAGCCTTGAGGAGAAGCCTAAAAAGGAAAGTCCAAAGAGGACGATATCTGCTAGAAGTGGGCTTGGGCCGTTACATAAACTGTCTTGGAGTTGCAGGATTTGTTTGGAGGAGGAGAAGACATGGATATCGATTCCATTAGATTCAATGTTTACCTATAAAATAATGTTAATATATGCACTCATTGTTAGGAAAGGAAAACAATGGAGACCTTTGATCCTTTTTACCCCTTACTTCTTTCTTGGAGGTTATGGGAACACTTTGAGCTCAGTCGGGCTTCCTTCCTTCCTTCCTTCCTTCCGTTGGTAGAAGTCTCCTATGCCTCTACTATATGCTTTTTATGATTTTTGCAATATTTTAGAGATTTAATTCAAATCTAATAATTAAATTTTATTAAATCTCTTTTCTCTTCTAACATAAACCATTTCAGATACAAAAATGCATAGGCATCGTAGGTTAGTTCATTTTCCTTTGAGAAACACTTGCGTCCTGATGGGATTTGTAGTGATCATTCCATTAGTTTTCCAAGGTCTTTCTCCTATAGCTATGTTCGATCTATATAAGTTCTTTCATGATTCTCAATTCCGCTCACAAGTGGTAGGCCTTTCTGTAGCTTCCTTGGTTGGCCTTTTGGGAACAGTTCTTCCTTTCTATACGTTAATTAGTCTGCGTATGTTATATATCATTTTGTTATCAAGCATATGCCTGGAAAAACCAACCATGTGATTAGGCACTGTGTTGGCTATTTGTTGAATGAGAAGATGGTTTTCAAAGATGAGGATGAATGTGGAAGCTGCATGGGATGGAGTTAATTGCTTTACTTATTATTGGTTTTGGAGTGTTAAGTCCTTGTTGTTTGGAATTTCTTCTTCTTGTAGTCGACATAATCAACCTTTCGAAGATAAAGGTTTTCAGTTTTCATTAACGGGTGCCTTATCCTTTTGTTTGTTTCCTCTCAAAAGGGATGCAGGGCAATAAATGTAGAAGCAATCCACTAATTTGATAGTAGAGAACCAGAATACACATTGCTCTAATTTTCTTCATTTTTCCATGTGCTCCAAGCCTCCAACACTAGTTCATACAATATTAGCTTCTTCTCAAGATAATAAAATTTGTTATTGAATTAAGAGAGGATGCATTTACTTTTTGCAGGCTGGTTATGTTGGAGAAGACGTCGAATCGATTTTGTACAAGCTACTTGCTGTAAGTTTCATGTTTAATTTCCTTAACTGTGTTTAGAAATTTCCCTGTAGCTTGCTGATATGGTGTATTAGTGACTTATAATTCAGCTCAACAAACTGAGAAAATGGTAATACCCAAATGACGCCTCTATTTCCAGTTAAATAGGAAACTACCACTAATTTGGATTTTGTCACCAGCTAGCTGACACATAAGCAAATATTTGCTTGGCTTAACTCAACTCGTCCCTTCATCAATGTTGCTTTATGATTGATGAAGTTTTTCCATGCTCTTGATTTTGACGCTGGTTAAAACTCGTGTCATTCTGTTAAAGTTTTTCTTCCACAAGATCATATGCCTTTTTTGGCATACAGAAATAGATCTATGTCATTTTGTCACCATTGTTGTTAAACTGATTGGATGCTTGATGACTGTTTTAGTGCAAGACATTTGGTTCTTACAAATATTTGTCAGCACTGAACAGTCCGCTTACTTTATAATTATCCAGATCTTGCTAACTAATCTATGAGCTGCTGATATTGATGCACATTTTATATTGATTTAGGCAGCAGAATTTAATGTACAAGCAGCTCAACAAGGGATGATTTACATTGATGAAGTTGACAAGATAACAAAGAAGGTTTTCACGATTCTTCAATTAATCAATTGTTTTCTTTATTTAGATCTACTATATCAACATAAACCACTGGTATTCTTCTTCTTAGGCTGAGAGTCTAAATATTAGCAGAGATGTTTCTGGTGAAGGCGTTCAACAGGCATTATTGAAGATGCTAGAAGGAACTGTGAGTTGATTAAACTTTATCACTTCCAGTGCATTACTTTTTCCAATTTAACATGTTAACGGAAAAATTGTTATGCCATTTCAGGTTGTACATTTTTTTTGTTCTTTTTTGTGTACATCTTTTACTATTGGCGTCAGTTAACAAATTTATACATAAAATATCACTGGAGATGGCGATCGTAATATGTCCATGGGCATGCAGTTTCTTATTGTGTAGTGAGTTGGCTTACATTTAACGGTTTACATATACCGGTTTGCATGTAACGTACCATATTATTTCTCATGATCCGACTGTTTTTGGTGATTTAAGAACGAGGAAGGCTGAGATTATGGAAAGAATTAGAAGAGGAGGATAGGATTCTTCCCATAGAGTTGAGGAAGGAAAAAGTTTCCTTGAAAAATGAGTTTGAAACACTTGTTAGGAGGAAGGATATAAGCTTGAGACAGAACAAAGTCCGATTAGATTAGGGAGGAGGATGAAAATTCCTCCTTTCACAATGTAGTGAGAGGTAGGAGGCGTAAGAATAGTGGGACTTTCGTTTTGGAGGATCGGGATATTGAGTGAGAGATAGTTTATTATTTTTCTACTCTCTATGCCTCTCCTTTTGATCTCTAGACCGCTTGTGGGAGGTTTTGACTGGAGTCCATCTGAACCCCCCTTTACTCTAGCTGAAATTTGCAAAGTGGTCTTCAGCGTTGACAAGAACAAAATCCAGGTTGAATGGCTTCACAATGACATTTTTCAAGATAGTTGGGAGTTGTATTAAAAAGATTTTCGTTGGATTCCATGAAAGGGGCATTATTGATTCTAGGATGAGTGAGACGTGTGTGTTGTATCCCTACGAAAGATAAGACTAACACAGTTAAAGACTTTACACCCATTAGCCTGTACTTGTTTATATAAGATCATAGATTGAGGAAGGTCCTTCTAGTACCGTCTCTAAATCTCGAGGCTTTTATATAGCTAGAAGACAAATCTTAGACAGTGTTGATAGCTAATGAAGCCATTGAAGACCATAGGAAGCAAATAGAAGGGGTTATCTTCAAAGTTGAATTAGAGAAAGCTTTTGACCATCTGGATTGAACCTTCTACGATAATGTTGGGAGGAGGAGTGTGATGTCCCACATTGGTTGGGGAGGAGAACAAATCACCCTTTTTAAAGGTGTGGAAACCTTCCTCTAGCAAACACGTTTTAAAGCCTTGAGGGGAAGCCCGAAAGGGAAAGCCCAAAGAGGACAATATCTGCAAATAGGATTGTGATGTCCCACATTGGTTGGAGAGGAGAACAAATCACCCTTTATAAAGGTGTGGAAACCTTCCCTTAGCAGACACGTTTTAAAGCCTTGAGGGAAAGCCCGAAAGGGAAAGCCCAAAGAGGACAATATCTACTAGCGGTGGATCTGGGTCGTTACAAGGAGTTTAGGTTTAAGTGGAGATCTTGGATCTAGAATTATGTAAGATTTGCAAACTTCTCAATCATTGTTAATGGGAGGCCTAGATGATAGATTCTTGCTTCTGGGGGTCTTAAACAAGGGAATCTTGTCACTTTTCCTCTTTATACTAGTGATAGATGTATGGTATAGAATTGTGTCAGTTAGAGTGGATAGGGGGCGGTGGAGGGGTTTAAGGTGGGAAAGGAGTCAATTCATTTGACTCCATCTTTAGTTTGCCAATGACATTCTTTTCTTCCATTCAGGCCGTGATAGCTCTCTCGTTAATCTTAATGGGCTCTTGTCGTTCTTTGAAGCTATTTTTAACCTTAAGATTAACCGGGGTAGAAGTTCCATCATTGATCCCAATTGTTGCTCTACCGAATCAAGTTCTTGGGCTTCTTCACCTGCATGTGAGGTGACTCAATTTTCATTCACTTATCTTGGGCTGCCATTGGGAGGTAATCTGCTGAGTCACATTTACATGGTCGGGTGAACACTATGTATTAGGTCCAACGCCACTCTTCCTTTTTAGTACAACTGCAATGATGCATTCTCTGTAGACAACTGGAGGAGGACCTTCACCACCTTCTATGGGATTGTCATTTTGCACCGTCAATTTGGAGAAGATGGTCGAGGGCTTTTGGTTTACATGTGGCTTGGAGGAGAGATTGCTTTTCTATGATTGAGGAGGTCCACTTGTGTTCGATTTTCTGTAAGAAAGGCAATGTGTTGTGGCAAACTAGGTTTTTTTTTAGAGAAATATTAGAATTTTTGAGAGGAGGATAGATCGAGTAAGGAGGTACAGGAGGAGCTCACTTTCTTTTTAGTGTTTTTTTTGCACGCCCTTGTTTTCTTTCATTAATTATCTATGTAATCTTCCATAGAACACATGGGTCGAGTATATCTTGTTTTTGCGTATCATTTTTTATTTTTTTTCAAAATTTATTACCATTACATTTTGTGTATATAGTCGAATTTTGCTATAGTGTAGGGAGAGGCTTGTCTTTTTATCAGCTTGATATGATTCGCTTGGCTTGAAGTTCTTTTAATGGGGCGGGGACCGGCTCCTTGCCCCGTGAAGCTCTTTATTGAGGACTACTTTTGTGATTATTTTGTATGCCACTGTACATTTCTATGAAAGCTTGGTTTCTTAAGAAAAAAGTTGTTATCATTCCATTATGTGTAATAATTTCACTGCATAATTATGTTATGGTTGGTAAGTGCTAAATATGATTTTGAACTTTCATAGACCTCATAAAAGAACGAAATAAGGAAGATCTACCTGAGGCATTCCAAGAGTTTTTAAAGAACGAAATTTTTAACAAGGGGACGAACAAAACGTACGTTAACTTTGGTTCCAAAGAAGAGTGAGGTGTTGAAAGTGAGCGACTTTAGACCTATCAGTCTTGTTACTTCCCTTTATAAAACCGCGGTCATAATTCTTGGAGAGCGACTAAGAAATGGTTTTCCCTATACCATGGATGATACACAAATGCCTTTTCTGGAGAGGAGGCAAATTCTTGATGCAATCTTGCTTCCTGCTGAATCTATTGATGATCTGGAAGAGTTGAGGCTTCATAGTGAAATCAGCTTACTTGGCATTGCAAGAAAAGAGAGGACTTTTGAGAAAAGAGATCTTCTCTTTAAGTTGGGGAGGTTCGGTACCCGAAAGGGCGATTCCTCCTTTGGAAAGTTGCTCACAGCAGCATTAATACTCATGATAAGATGCAAAGAAGATATCCTAACCTTAATATCTCCCCTACCTATGCAAAAGAGAGTGGAACTACTTTGGTAACTTATTCTGTCTAAATTGGTGACACTGTTTGGCGTTAGATCAGTGGCTGGTGGAGTCTTTGAGCTGCTGGGGATTGAAAGACAAAGTTCGTATTATGATCAAATACTGCGAAGGCTATTTTGTGTCTTATTTGGGACGAAAGAAGTGCTAGAATTTTTCAGATAAATACAATTCTTTTGATTGTTTTTGTGACCTTATACAGTTCACGGTCTCAGGAGTAGCCATTTAGATTGGGAGTTTTTTTTTGGTAAGTTCGTAGGGAAGGGGCGTCTTGTTCTTCGGCCCGCTAAGCTGATCTTCTTGATGTTCTGGAATGAAATATTTTCTGTTTCTTATAAAAATCTTGATCTTTTGAAATGAAAGGTTTTCAAAAGATCAAGATTTTTATATAAAAAAGTGCCTTTTAAGAACCGTTTCCTTTTGCACTTTCTCTTTTATACATCGAACGGTTTAAGACTACGTGGTTTCTCCATTGAAGGTATTGAAGATCGAGAGCGATTTCTCCTAATGTGGGTTCTTAAGGAAAAAATCCAGTCTCTAAGCCCTGTCCCAAGTCCAACACTAAACACTATAAGAATTAAGAAACACATTGCATGATTTGTTTATGTTGTCATTTAAAGATCCAAATTTTGTATTATTTTTAACTTATATTTCCCCATCCTAAATTCTGGGTATGAATTGTTGTCAGATAGTAAATGTTCCTGAGAAGGGGACGAGAAAACATCCTCGCGGTGATAACGTTCAGGTAATATATACGAGAAAACATACTCTCTAGTTTCTTTTATTCGCGTGTATGCAAGTGTTTTAATGTCTTGCAACATTTCTTCATGATAACCTTTCTAGATGCTGTAAGTTTAGTATGGTAATGATGACATATATGTGTGTATTTTTTGGAACCATTGTTTTTCTTTGTCAGATATTTCTGAGGAAATTTGTTTATCTTTGCTTAGAGAGAACTTTACACGTATGACATGTACACATATACACACATAAATAGAATAAACAGGGAAAAATTGAGACCCGAGGTAAGAAGCAAAGATCCACGTAGTAGGAGCACCAGTTGGGGTCACTCAAGATTTCATGTGCTGCAAGCTGCAAGCATAAGCCAAGACTCGAAATGATGGGTAAAAAGAGAGTTACTGTGTAGGAGTGAGATCCCATATCGGTTGGAGAGGGGAACGAAACATTCTTTATAAGTGTGTGAAAACCTCTCTCTAGCAGATGCGTTTTAAAACCTTGCGGGGAACCCGAAAGGGAAAGCCCAAAGAATTGAGACTTGAGGTAAGAAGCAAAAGATCCACGTAGGAGCACAAGTTTGGGGTCACTCAAGACTTCATGTGCCTACAAGGTGCGAGCATAAGCTCAAGGCTGGAAACGATGGGTAAAGAGAGAGTTATATGTAGGTGTGAGATCCCACATCTTTTGGAAAGGGAAATGAAGCATTCTTTATAAAGTTGTGGAAACTTCTCCCTAGCAAACGCGTTTTAAAATCTTACAGGGAAGCTTGAAAGGAAAAACCCAAAGAATTGAGACCTGAGGTAAGAAGCAAAGATCCACGTAGGAGCACAGGTTTGGGGTCACTCAAGACTTCATGTGCCTACAAGGTGCGAGCATAAGCTCAAGGCTGGAAACGATGGGTAAAGAGAGAGTTATATGTAGGTGTGAGATCCCACATCTGTTGGAAAGGGGAACGAAACATTATTTATAAAATTGTGGAAACCTCTCCCTAGCATACGCGTTTTAAAATCTTGAGGGGAAGCCTGAAAGGGAAAGCCCAAAGAGGACAATATCTGCTAGCGGTAGGCTTGGGCCGTTACAGTAAGGTAGTGTGGGTGAATGTTTAAGTCAATCATCAAACCTTGTGTGTTGTGAAAGTACTAAGTCTTGAGTCTATCACTTGTAGACATTTATAGCTCTCAATTATAATCTGAGAATAATCCCTTGTAGACATTCACTCCCTGCTGTACTTATATTTTCAGATATAGTTTCATAGAGACTTCTTGTTGTGCATACAATCCCTTTATGGGGTTTGATGTTGGCTATTGCTTTGAAAATGTGCAGATAGATACAAAAGATATTTTGTTCATATGTGGTGGAGCGTTCATAGATCTTGAAAAGACAATCTCTGATAGACGGCAAGATTCTTCTATCGGTTTTGGCGCGCCTGTTCGTGCTAACATGAGAATGGGAGGGGTTACGAGTGCTGCTGTTACATCTTCGTTGCTGGAAACGGTGAGAACGAAAGCCCTTTGGATTTGTTGGCATAGTCAATGAATATTACTTTATTTTTGGGATGATACGTCCCCTCAACAAAATGCCCGAGTCCCTTTAAAGTTTGTCTAAACGTTCTATTTCGTGCTTTCCAGGTTGAGAGTTCTGATCTTATAGCATATGGTCTCATACCAGAGTTTATAGGGCGTTTTCCAATTCTTGTTAGCTTATCAGCCTTGACTGAAGAACAGCTTGTCCAGGTATCAGTCATTATTTCTTTATTGTTGTTCATCTAGAACACCACAACTGAAAGAAAGAACTTTGTTAGAGATCTCTAATATTTAGTTCAGAATTTTGTTTACTTGAAATATGGTCTGAATTGTCCCCTTTTGCACATGGGAAAGCCCGAAAGGGAAAGCCCAAGGAAGATAGTATCTGTTAGCAGTGAGGAGGCTGAGCCCCGAAAGGGGTAGACACGAGGCAATGTGCCAGCAAGGATGCTGGGCCCAGAAGGGAGATGGATTTGGTGGGAGTCTCATATCGATTGGAGAAAGGAACGAGTGTTAGCGAGAACGTTGGACCTCGAAGGGGATGGATTGTGAGGTCCCACATCGGTTGGAGACGAGAATGAAACACCCTTTATAAGGGTGTGGAAACCTCTCCCTAGCAGACACATTTTAAAAACTTTGAGAGAAACCTCGAAAGAGAAAGCTCAAAGAGGACAATATCTACTAGCGGTGGGCTTGGGTCATTACAAATGGTATCAGAGCCAGACATTGAGCGATGTGCCAGCGAGGAGCCTGAGCCGCGAAGGGGGTAGACACAAGGTGGTGTACTAGCAGGATGCTGGGCCCCGAAGGGGGGTGGATTGTGAGATCCCACATCGGTTGGGGAGGAGAACGAAACACCCTTTATAAGGGTGTGGAAACCTTTCCGTAGCATACACGTTTTAAAAACCTTGAGGGAAAGTCCAAAGAGGACAATATCTGCTAGCGGTGTGGGCCTGGACCGTTACATAAAACCTCCATTGCTTAGACCTCGAATGAGCTCGAAACCCAAAATATTGTCTGAGTTGATTCTCTTTGGTATTTTCTTTCTATAACCCAAATGAGCTCGAAACTTTACTTGGACCTGCTGTTGTTAACAGGTCCTCACTGAACCGAAAAACGCCCTCGGTAAGCAGTACAAGAAGTTGTTTGGCATGAATAACGTGAGTATTTACTTTCTCATGCAACGATTTCCACGTTTTCCTACACGAATCTCTCTCCAATCATTGTGGAGTAGTAGAACCCTCTTAGTAGAACCGCAATTCGATTTCCAGGTGAAGCTGCATTACACAGAGAAAGCACTGAGACTGATTGCCCAGAAATCAATGGCCAAGAACACTGGTGCCAGAGGCTTGAGAGCCATACTGGAAACCGTTCTTGCAGAAGCCATGTATGAGGTATTGATGCCAAAATCATCCATCTGAATATAGCTCATTACAACATTAGCTCATCTCTATTCTCGAATGGTTTAGATCCCCGATGTCAAGACTGGAAACGAAAGCGTAGACGCCGTTGTCGTTGACGAAGAATCCGTTGGCTCACTAAATTCAAGAGGCTGCGGAGGCAAAATTCTTCGTGGCGATGGAGCGTTGGAGCGGTATCTAGCGGAAACCAAGTCGAAAGAATCAGAGGTACTATTTCTTTCAAATATGGCCTTCATTTTTTATAATAATCACGAACAAGGAATTTCCATACCTCAAGGTTCAATTACAAGGATGAGAGCTAAGAAGCTACAACAAACCTTGTACACTTATATTCAAACTATATGGTGAGCTCATCAAAGGAAATTCTAGTAGACGTTGGAATTTCCTTATATGTTGTGCAAAGTTGAATTTATGGAACTAGTCCAAGGATGACTAATAAGCACATTTCTTGAAGCTCAACTTTGCACTAACATATAAGGGAGGTCTCCAACGTCTTCTAGAATTTCCTTTGATGAGCTCACCATAACTTTGAATACAAGTATACAAGGTTTGTTATAGTTTCTTGGCTCTCGTCCTTATAATTGGACCTTGAGGTATGGAAATTCCTTGTTCGTGGTTCATATCAATTTTGTTCTTTGTTGCAACTAAACAATATGTTTATAGGATAATATGGAGGAAGGCGAGGCAGAGATGTCATCAAGAGCTGTGAGTCTATAGAAACGTGCAAGATAAGGTAACCACGACCGTGATGAAAAGAAAAAGAAAAAAAAAAAAATACATTTCCCCTTTTTGGCTTATGTTATTTTGGGGGAAGAAATAAACAAATATGGTGTAATTATCCCATTGTAACACCACATAGCTCGGGTTAAGTCCATTGTGTTAGGGAGGATGGAAGGAAAAAGGCATTCATCGTTTAGGCTAACATATCTATTATATCTGAGTAATCTGTAAAATGAAAAGGAAATAGCTGCCCATTAAGATGTCTTCTTCCCATTTATTTTATTAAATTATAAATTTAGTCATTGAAATTTCACGACGTTCCTTAAGCTTTTGATTTTGATTATGTTTTGTCGTCGATACTCTTACTTAAATGTTCACGTAGCACAATGTCATTGAAATGGGCACGGAAAATAAGTAATATGTTGTAAATTATTTGTTGTATCCTTTTGGATTTTTAAAACGGGGAGAACATAAGTCAATTGATGAAAGTATCTTGAGCATTCAAAAAAAGGGTTGCTTGTTCGTTCAAAAAGGATTGTATTAAAAGAGAACTATCGGCAAACGATTGAGATTCATTCTAAAGGGTATAGACTATTTCGAGCGAAAAATAGAGGAAATTTTTATTTGATAATTGAAAATCAAGTCTTTATTACTTTTGCCAGGAATGAGAACCTATTCCTAATTAGAACTCGTCTTCAACATGGAAAGACAATGTCCTAACCACGGGACGAAAGAGACCTTCTTTCTTCATATACCTAAGCTCTAAAAATAGAAATAGTTTGTTTTCTTTCTATGTGTGCAATTCGATGATTTTATTTGTGTTTGTGTTGACGAATTCGGAGTGAATTCAACGGGTATGGGGAAACAAAAAGGGTTAGGTTCCTAATTGTGAGCATCAAACTCAAATGTGGCATAAACAATTCCGTAATAGAACCTACAAATCCAGTTTAGTTTGGTTTGGTTTGGTTCGGTTCGATTCGGTTGAACAAGAAAAAGGAGCAATGGAGTTCATGAACATACAAAGGGCTTTAGATACAACTAACCAAACTTATAGTGCTTATCCACAGCAATTGAGACATCCCAAGTGCAGCTCATTCCCGCTGGGAACACAACCAAATCCCCAGCGCCAACCTCAACCCCCTCATCTGAGCCTGCTGGAGTAACCTTGACCTTTCCCTCTAGCAGATAGCATGTCTCCTTGTCCGAATATGTCCATGGGAATTTGCTCGGCCCACACCCCCACCTGTTGGATTCACAATCAAAACATCCAATTAATCAAAAACCCATCTATCCAGTTCATGCTTTCAAGTTCCTGTTGAACAATTTATATATCTTTATTGGTTTTTAAAACAAAAACTAAGGTACTAGTTATGAATTTGGTGACGACCGTTTAGCCATCAACCATTTTGAAATCTACTATTAGGAACTACGGACCTTCACAATGGTCCACTTTCAGCATAAGCTCTCGTGACTTTACTTTTGGTTTCCCCAAAAGGTCTCATATCAATGGAGACGTATTCCTTACTTATATACTCTCTCCCAACAATCTTCAACAATCCTCCCCTCGAACAAAGTACACCATAGAGCCTCCTTTGAGGCCTATGAAGCCCTTGAACATCCTCCCCTTAATCAAGCCTCGACTCTTATCGGGAGCTCTCGAATAAAGTACACATTTTGTTCGACAGTTGAGTCACTTTTGACTACACCTTCGAGGCTACCAATTTCTTTGTTTGATACTCGAAGATTCGATTAGCATGACTAAGTTAAGGGTATGGCTCTGATACCATGTTAGGAACCACGACTCTCCACAATGGTATGATATTGTCCATTTTAAGCAAAAGCTTTCACGGTCTTACTTTTATTTTTCCCAAATGATCTCAAACCAATGGAGATGTATTCCTTTCCTAAGACAAGATGTGGCCTATTTTCCGTGAGTCATTTGACACCCCACATCACAAGATACAAAGTCCTTCAAAAGACCTGGCGTACAATTAAGTTCTGTTATGACTCTACTTTGGCTTGTATGTAGTAAAAGAGAACAGGAATCTTTTTTTGCAGAGGAGACTTGTGTAATAAAAACTTTACATGAAACAATCTCCAAACTTTTGTGTTTTGGAGATCTTAAAAACCAATATGGATAATGGAGTAACAACTTACCCCACACATAGTACGATTCTCAAATGTCGAATAAAGAATTTGTGAGGCATGCTCCACATGCAGTGAGTTGATCATTTATAACATGGTATCAATGCCCTTAACTTAACCATGTCAACAAAATTCTCAAATGTCAAATAAAGAATTTGTGAGTCTCGAAGGTGTAGTAAAAAATGACTCAAGTGTTAAACAAAGATGTACTTTTTTCGAGGGCTCCAGAGAAAGCGTCGAGCCTTGATAAAAGGGAGACGGTTCGAGGATCCCATAGGCCTCAGGCTATATAGTGTACTTTGTTCGAAGGGAGGATTGTTGGGGGAGGATTGTTGGGAGGCTTTATAGTGTACTTTATTTGAGGGGAGGATTGTTGGGAGGGAGTCACTCATTGGCTAATTAAGGAAATGATCATGGGTTTATAAGGAATACATCTCCATTGGTATAAGAGGGAAAACCAAAAGCAAAATCATGAGAGTTTATGCTCAAAGTGAACAATATCATATCATTGTGGAGGTCTGTGATTTATACTATGGTATCAGAGTCGTGCTTTTAACTTAACCATGTCAACATAATTCTCAAATGTCGAACAAGTCGAACAAAGAATTTGTGAGTCTCGAAGGTGTAGTCAAAAGTGACTCAAGTGTCGGACGAAGGTGTACTTTGTTTGAGGACTCTTTAAGAGTCAAGCCTCTATTAAGGAGAGACTGTTCGAGAGCTCCATAGGCCTCAGGGAGGCTCTATAGTGTACTTCGTTTGAGGGGAGTGAGTCCCACCTTGACTAATTAAGGAGAATCTCCATTGGTACGATACCTTTTGGAAAAACCAAAAGCAAAGTTTATGCTCAAAGTGGACAAAATCATATCATTGCGGAGGTCGTGATTCCTAACCGTTCTTAGTTCTTAATCTTAGCGCCCCACCAAACAACCAAACAAGAAATTGCCAACATGCAAACTTACAACCCAGAAGCTTGAAGCGATCAAATATCAAAATAACAACACCTTAAGCATTCAATCATCCATCTATTTATAAACATTCATAAACCCTTAAAACAGATTGAAACCCAATTCCAAAATTGCTAACATCGCTAATATCAAGGCTCGATTATCAAAAGAACAGCCACAGGGGCCATTAACATCAACAACCAGTAAACATTAGGCGGCCGAAACAATGATATTGCAGCAATTAAATGGAGAAAACAATCAAGAAAAGAGATATAGAAATCAAAATACTTGGGCCATTGACGAACGCCGAGTTCAGTAAGCTTAGATTCAGGCGGATTCTTCTCAACCTTGATGCCCAGCCTCTCAGTCGCCATGGAATCGGCTCGAATCTGAAGGGATGGTGCCCTTTTCACGAAGTTCAAAGAGACGTTTCTGGGTTTACTGAGGGAAGTGGGCGGTTTTAAATTTAGTAATGAGAATCCGTTCACTGCGGAAGCCATCGCAACTCCCAAGATCCTCACTATTTGATTTCCCCTATTTTTAGGGCTATATTATCAATTATCCCTTTGCCCATAAATCTGTTCTAATGCCACTTGGAATTGATTTCATCGACTCCTACCTTATCCGGAATTTTTATTTTATTTTATTTTATTTTAACAATTTGAACGTTGAGAAATTTTTGTTAAAATAAGATTAAAAAAAAAAAAAAAAAAAAAAAAAAAAAAAAAAAAAAAAAAAAAAAAAAAAAAANCACAACTGCCTTGATACCAATCGTAACAACCCAGATCCACCGCTAGCAGATATTGTCCTCTTTGGGATTTCTCTTTCGAGCTTCCCCTCAAGGCTTTAAAACGTGTTTGCTAGGGGAAGGTTTCCACCCCTTATAAATGGTGGTTTGTTCTCCTCCCTAACCAATGTGGGACATTAAAAAAAAAAAAAAAAAAAAAAACTCCACCTCTAATGTATAAAAATGCTAAATGAGATGAGAAATGAGAAATGAGAAAGCATGGGTGAGATCACTTATAACAAAATAATTTATAGGGATGTCCATTTACACTTGCACGAACCTATCTCAAATGTAGAGGGGATTCCTTGTTTAGACGGGGAACAAATAGGTTATGACGGATTATTTATAGCTTAATCAATTGTTTTACATAGTAAACAATTGATTAAAAAGCTGGTATATATAATAGATAATTATATCGGTTAAAGCTATATACGGTAAACTGAACTATATATATATATACCCCTTAGGAAGTGCTTTGAAGATGTACATTTTACTATTCTCTCTTGCTATATATACTTGAAGGCATCAATATAAACTTTTAGCCAATATTTCTCCAGTTCTTTGTATTTATCTAGATTGAGTGTGTGAATTATTGTGCGGTCCTAACAATTGGTATCAGAGCTAGGTGAAATTTACCACGATCTGTGAAGATGGAAAGTTCAAAGATTTGAATTAAGAAGTTCGATGGATCCAATTTCGGTTTCTGGAAGATGCAGATTGTAGATTATCTGTATGAGAAAGATCTTTACGAATACCTGTCGAGGGTGAAGCCAGATACCATGAGCACGGAGTAGTGGAAGCTTAAGGATTGTCAGGCCTTAGGGTTGATCTGGTTGATGCTATATAGAAATGTGGCGTTCAACATTATTAAGGAGAAGACAATGTTAGATCTGTTGAAGACATTATCGAATATGTACGAAAAGTCGTCGACTATGAACAAGGTGTATTTGATGCGAAGATTGTTCAATCTACAAATGTCTGAAGGTGGATTTGTTGTTGATCATATAAATGAATTCAATATGATTGTAAATCAACTAAGTTTGATGAAAATTAATTTCGAAGATGAAATTAAAGCATTGATTTGGATGTCATCTTTATCAGAGTCGTGGGATACTGTTGTTGCCACGATCAGCAGTTCCCGAGGATTTGAGAAAGTAAAGTTCGATGAAATCCGAGATGTAGTTCTCATTGAAAGTATTCGCAAGTGAGAAACCATAGATTCATCTGGTAGTATTCTCAATGTTGACCAAAGTGAAAGAAGTAAATCAAAGGGCTCAAACAAAAGTCGATCAAAATCAAAGAACCGTGAAAATTTTATAAACAGACTAAACGTAACGTATTGGAGTTGTGAAGGAAATGGTCACTTTCTGGCAGATTGCACAAGACCAAAGAGGAATCAAAATCAAAGAATCGTAAAAACTTTCCAGA